TGCAAACAACCACAGAATGGTTCCGTTTGGTCGCAGCAAACACCAGCAATTATTTCTATACGGTAAAAGTACAAACATGGCTGATGTTACGACACCTTCCCTTAATGTAAGTCATCGGAGGAAAACACGGACAACTGAATTCAAAAATTGCAACTTGATAAATTATACTGTATCACAAGGTTTGTTCCCGTGTTCGTATGACTCCTTATCTAGACGTTTAGAGAGACAGCCACCTCTAACCCCACAGCATCGTGAACGTGAACAACGTGTGAAGAAAGCTTCGTTTCAGGTGCTTGAGCTTCCAGCAGAGAAGACATATAAGCCAAGGTATAAAAATCCCTCCCTTCTCAGCCAGCTCCCTGTGTGTAGTCACAGGAAGAGAAACTTGCCAGTGTTCCTGGGATAGATGTAGATGTACCACCAGCAATATTCTGGAGTGTATTGTGTCGTTAAGTTTGTGTAACCTTATTGTTGAATTGTTTGATAGGCATGACTTGGAAGGTGACGGATGACAAAGTAGACACAATTTATGGATAACAACTTCTTCAATTACTGTAAAGGTGACGTTTCGGTATAGATCCTTATGCCCATGTCAAGTAGGATGTAAATTAAACAGTGATTAAAGAAGTTGTTATCCATAAATTGTGTCTTCTTTGTCAACCTTATTGATGTTTGTGATGAATTCCATTGAAATCTTGTTTCCAAAACATTATGCAATGTGTATATTTCAAGCACATATATCAACATACTGGACATGTCATAATTGCAGCGTCCATTTTAATGAAAAAGAGTTGTAAAGAAAATACGTAAATCCTGTTCAGTCATAACAGAAATTGCCTGCTAAACTTGGATATGCAACTGTCATTTTTAAATGAGGTATGTGCTGAGGTTCTTGGTCTGAGCGAAATAAAGTTCTGTGCTGGGATGTTGTGTTCTTCTATTCTCGTAACCAAGGTTCCACGTCTACAGTGCAATCATTTAATGCGGATGCCAGTCAAATTGAACCTTATTACACAAATACACATGCGTCATGTAAAGTGAGTCAGTTGGATTTAACATCGCTTTCGACAATATTACATTTATATCAAGGCATGTGAGCTTAATGAGGGCGGAAAGCCCAAAGTGATGCAGGCCTCTTTTGTGAAACCAATGATCACAGGTAAAGTGCTGAAAAAAACCCACTAGAAACACACAAGTCAATGTTGAGAGCCGGGTGACGAGGGAAGGAATAAACATGATGCTTACTTGTTTGCTGTTTCATGTCGTTGTAATCAGTATTCCAGCTATATCACGGCAGCCAGAAAAAAATACCGAATCAAGTGACTGATAGTATGAGCAACGTCCGAAGCCGCTCGGGTACGATGACGCGCAATTAACCTACGTGGTAAATTGTCATATGTGTCAGTGAGGTGAGGTGCCTGTCTTAAAGTGCTAATCCACTGAGATACCATGCCGCAGTTTATGTCTCCGAGCCGGGCCTTGTCTTATCTCCATAATGTCAGGCAGGGTGACAAGTACCATCTTTTATTATCTCTTATGACGCGGTCTGGGACCTTCCGCTGAGATGGCTACGCAAGTAGCTTCACATCTCTACGGGGGCATCGGTGGCCCAGTCGTCTAAGGCGCCGCAATTCGCTGTGCAGAGTTGCGTCCCTTGGGCAAGCCACAAACCTATGATTGTGGGTTCGAATCCCGGTTCGCCCAGATTATGTTTCTAGGTTTATCAACACCATACCTGTGCTCGTGGGTTTCACCGAAGTGGTAAACATCTGAGACTTGCATAACTTCGGGCTTTCCTCCCACATTAAGCTGACACGCCGTGATATAATTGGAAGAATGTTAAAAGCGGCGTTAAACCCAACTCACTCACTCACATGTATACATAAACGTGTGCCAACGGCTGACAGGGATAATATGCTTTCTCACGGCAGTTCCCACGCACAGGGTAAAACAGTAAGCATTAGATAATGAATTTAAAGACTCTAATATTCTTCTTCTCTTCCTGTTCCTTTTTCCATACAATACACAAACTAATTGCTCATAATGTGGAAGATACCCAGAGAGTATTCAATACCCCAGTTTTCCTATCAAATGTTGAGATGTCGATTTCAAAAGTACTCTCAGATCGGAACACCAAATATATGGTTCTTGTGGCATGGTGCCAACAATAGTAGTCTTGTATAATGTTCTAATGTGTGACCTGGAAAATGGATACTGGAATTCAGTCGAGACGGATAACAATCACCACATTGACAGATCATTTATTCAGCAAATCAACAAAAATAAAAACAACTTTATTAGATCACCAGAACCGGATCATGCGACTGGTTGAATTCCGTCATTTTTCAGCTGTATACTGGCCTGACAGATCTATCCCTGAAGACAATATTATGTATACATACATCTATGTGGATAACACTACCGCATCTGTGTCCCGCCCCCACGCGGCGTCAGGCCTCGGGAGATGGATATTCATTTTCCTCTTGACTGACTGCATAAAACTCCGATTGTCAGAAAACATCACATTGACAAATATACAGTCATAATAAACACATCTGTGGCATATGTACACATGTAAATCATGAAATTAATATAGAAATAGATTTGGTATTAGCAGTTCGACTGAATAACAACCTTTACTGAATGGTTCACGTGATCTTGATACAATAAATCATGCCTCCATGTCAGAATGACGAGATCTGATTGGTCCACGATTGATCTTGATAAAATATTGTGTAACGCGCCTCGGAGGGTAAGAAATTTCTCAGCGGCGGAATAAATCTCTTATTCCCCGCAAGAGCAATACAGGCTGCACGTGGATTTGGGGAGGCCGAATACATCCCGTGTACCAAGCCTCAAAGCAAAAAGCCGCACTCTTTTTAGCAAATTCGCCTCAGCTCAATCGAACAGTTGTTATTAATTTTGAATTAAGGAATGTCATATTAAAACATGTTGGTAAGATAAATACGATCTGTTAAGGTACATGGGGTTTTAAGCGTCCCTCCGGCTAGTGGTTTAAAACCTAACGCGGGACGCATAAAACCCATGTCCCCCGAGATATCCTGCTGCAACTTATATGGTTGTCAATAACCAATCCAATAACCAGTTACCCTTGTAGCTTAATACTGCTATATAATACACATGTGCGTCTGAATCACAGTTTTCCATCACTGTTGTATTGTTGAATCTATAAGCACCTATCCGGTCAACATCTGCAGCTTTGTGTCGCCTCCCTTACTACGCTTACAAACCGCGATATAACTAACGTAATGTTTAAAGAGACGTCAAACTCGCTTACTCTTCGACTAGAACTGTGTGATACTTCTATACTTGGTTCACTTTTGGTTCTCCGCCTAGCTCACATCGCCCAAACACCCCAAAACAATCTTTAAGACACTCGTGCCACGAATGGTTATTAATGAATGGACAAGTACAGAATCAGGTACATCATAATTTTGTTGTCCCATACACAGATCTATCTTCAGACGTCAGTATGGGCTTCTCTTCCTCTGAACGTCTCGATGTGAATGTTTCTCCCGCTTCCTGTGAGGGTGTGGCATACTTATACCGTCTTGCAACCGGAACAAAGAACATCAGATTCACCAGCATCAGACCTCCCAGCAGGAAGAACAAGTATTCCGCGTGCCCATAGTTCAACTCGTTAGGAAACCAAGGATCTGTAATAGTTTTTTTTCGTGCATTAGCCATGGCATGAAAGAACGCTCACATACACTTGAAATGCTTTTTGACACAGAAAAAGACAACATAATTATGAGATGGAGATCAGATATATTAAGGCGTCTGTATAATTGTTGTTTATGAGATCCCTAAAACAGTGGATGCTATGTTCATCGTTATCTGTTTGAAAACTAGTCTTAGGGAACAGGTCAGCGTCCTACCATCTGTGGTGGCTGCGCTGACGATCGCGATGATGAGTGAGGCGACATAGTTCCCCAACCCTAAGACGGCGTAGAACAACCCCGTCAGCAGCCCCTGCATGGACGGCTGCGCCTGGGTGAAGGCGAACTCCAAACCTACAAGTACATCACGGAGAGAAATGGGTATAAGTAGACAGTCAGTAGTCCTGCATAGAAGGGTAAAGGGAAACTCCAGGCCTACTTCACAGAGGGACATGGGTATAGGTAGACAGTCAGAAGCCCTGCATAGAAGGGTAAATGGAAACTCCAGGCCTACTTCACAGAGGGACATTGGCATAGGTAGACAGTCAGTAGCCCTGCATTGAGGGGTAAAGGGAAACTCCAGGCCTACTTCACAGAGAGACATGGGTATAGGTAGACAGTCAGTAGCCCTGCATTGAGGGGTAAAGGGAAACTCCAGGCCTACTTCACAGAGAGACATGGGTATAGGAAGACAGTCAGTAGCCCTGCATAGAAGGATAAAGGGAAACTCCAGGCCTACTTCACAGAGGGACATTGGCATAGGTAGACAGTCAGTAGTCCTGTAAAGAGGGGTAAAGAGAAACGCCAGGCCTACTTCACAGAGAGACATGGGTATAGGTAGACAGTCAGTAGCCCTGCATTGAGGGGTAAAGGGAAACTTCAGGCCTACTTCACAGAGAGACATGGGTATAGGTAGACAGTCAGTAGCCCTGCATAGAAGGGTAAAGGGAAACTCCAGGCCTACTTCACAGAGGGACATTGGCATAGGTAGACAGTCAGTAGCCCAGTATAGAGGGGTAAAGAGAAACTCCAGGCCTACTTCACAGAGAGACATGGGTATAGGTGGACAGTCAGTGGCCCTGCCTTGAGGGGTAAAGGGAAACTCCAGGCCTACTTCACAGAGAGACATGGGCATAGGTAGACAGTCAGTAGCCCTGCATTGAGGGGTAAAGGGAAACTCCAGGCCTACTTCACAGAGAGACATGGGCATAGGTAGACAGTCAGTAGCCCTGTAAAGAGGGGTAAAGAGAAACTCCAGGCCTATAAGTACATCACAGAGGATTAAAGGTAGACAGTCAGTAGCCCCTGCACAGAGACGGCGTAGAACGGCGTAGAACAACCCTGTCAGCAGCCACTGCATTGACGGCTGCGCCTGGGTGAAGGCGAACTCCAGACCTACACGTACATCACGGAGAGACATAGGTATAGGTACACAGTCAGTGGCCCTGCATGGAGGGTGAAGGCGAACTCCAGACCTTCACGTTCATCACAGAGAGACATAGGTATAGGTAGACAGTCAGTATCCCTGCATGGGGGGGTAAAGGGAAACTCCAGGCCTACACGTACATCACAGAGAGACATGGGTATAGGTAGACAGTCAGTAGCCCTGCATGGAGGGTGAAGGGAAACTCCAGGCCTGCATGAATAGTATACAGTCAGTAGAAGGACATCCAATGCCTACAGTCATATATTTGACTGGTGTACTATCCCTGTGTTTCTTAGACATCCATAATTATGAGTGATTTAAAATAAGTAGAGAAAAAATATTGTATAAATACAAACATCAGAACATCAACTGCAGCAGCTAGCCTGTACTTTTCACAATGTGTGTATTTATCCTACAAGCCAATGGTCATAGTCATGGTATGACGGAACACTGAGACTATTGGACCACCTATTTTCCCATCATTAAATGATAGAGAGAACATTTTAATGCATGTAACACACTGACCTGGAATACTTGTAAAGACCTCCGATGACCCGACCAGGGCGAACTGTGGTATCTGGACGAGCACACTCAGTTGAGAGGCGTTGAAGTTTTCTCCACCTAGTGTCTGCACGATTCCCCCGGTAGAGGCCAAGTTCTGCTTCCGGTAGATCTCCACTATGCCCGCAACAGCCACAGAACTGGCCGAGAACACCAGCCCGATACCTGTAACCAGATGGACAATAAACAACACAGTACTCTTATCTGTAACCAGACGGACAACGAACAACACCAGACTGGTACCTGTAACCAGACAAACAATAAACAACACAGTAGTCATATCTGTAACCAGACGGACAACGAACAACACCAGACCGATACCTGTAACCAGACGGACAATAAACAACACAGTACTCATATCTGTAACCAAACGGACAACGAACAACACCAGACCGATACCTGTAACCAGACAGACAATAAACAACACAGTACTTATATCTGAAACCAGACGGACAACGAACAACACCAGACTGATACCTGAACATAGACAGATATCAGTCCGATATCCGTGTACAGAAATACATTAGACCGATACCTGTGTGCAGAAATACATCAGACCAATACTTGTGTACAGAAAAACATTAAACCAATACCTGTGTACAGAAATACATTAAACCAATACCTGTGTACAGAGATACATTAACCAATACCTGTGTACAGAAATACATTAAACCAATACCTGTGTACAGAAATACATTAGACCGATACCTCTGTACAGAAAAGCATTAAACCAATACCTGTGTACAGAAATACATTAAACCAATAACTGTGTACAGAAATACATTAGACCGATACCTGTGTGCAGGAATACATCAGACCAATACTTGTGTACAGAAATACATTAAACCAATACTTGTGTACAGATATACATTGAACCAATACCTGTGTACAGAAATACATTAGACCGATAAATGTGTACAGAAATACATTTGACCGATATCTGTGTACAGAAATACATTAAACCAATACCTGTGTACAGAAATACATTAAACCAATACCTATGTACAGAAATCAATTAGACCGATACAAGTGTACAGAAATACATTAAACCAATACCTGTGTACAGAAATACATTAGACCAATACTTGTGTACAGAAATACATTAAACCAATACCGGTGTACAGAAATACATTAAACCAATACCTGTGTACAGAAATACATTAAACCAATACCTGTGTACAGAAATACATTAAACCAATACCTGTGTACAGAAATACATTAAACAAATACCTGTGTACAGAAATACATTAGACCGATACCTCTGTACAGAAAAGCATTAAACCAATACCTGTGTACAGAAATACATTAGACCGATACAAGTGTACAGAAATACATTAGACTGATACCTCTGTACAGAAATACATTAAACCAATACCTATGTACAGAAATCAATTAGACCGATACCTGTGTACAGAAATACATTAAACCAATACCTGTGTACAGAAATACATTAGACCAATACCTGTGTACAGAAATACATTAAACCAATACCTGTGTACAGAAATACATTAAACAAATACCTGTGTACAGAAATACATTAGACCGATACCTCTGTACAGAAAATCATTAAACCAATACCTGTGTACAGAAAAACATTAGACCGATACAAGTGTACAGAAATACATTAGACTGATACCTCTGTACAGAAATACATTAAACTACCCCCCCCCCCCCCCCCCCCCACAACAAAACACACAAACTGTCACCTTGAGAGACATTAAATACCGTGACAAATATCTCCACCTTTACAGATTCCTCTTGGGCAACATCAACATATACACTTACCCATCTTCTGTAGATATGTGAGCGGACGGCCCCGACGAGTGAAGGATGGGTACACCAGTCTGTCCACCAGTGGTATTAACAACAGAACTATGATTGTGTTGAAGATATTCAACATGGCTGCCGGTATCGCCCCTTCTCCGACCTTCACACTCATGCGTTCACTTTGCAGGAAAAATGTGGACTGCATCTGTCATGGTAAAACAATTGGATATGGCATACTCCAATGGACTCTTCATCATAAGATAATTATTACAGGAACGTCGACATTCACATGAACAATACAGTGATCTATTGGGATAATAATACCGACCTTTGTAACCGATTTGCAATCACATTTAATCACTATCGGGCGATCCGAAAACTATTTGTTTGTTTGTTTGTTGTTTAACACCGCAGTCAGGAATAGTCAAACTGTTTGACGACGGTATGTAAATAATCGAGTCTGGACCAGACAATCCACTGATTGAGATCATGAGCATCGATCCACGCGATTGGGATACGATGACCTGCATCAACCAAGTCAGCGAGTCTGACCACCCGATCCCGTTAGTCGCCTCTAACAACAAGCACATACTCGCCTTTTACAGCAAGCATGGCTTGCTGAAGTTCTAACCCGGGATTCTGAAATTAATCGTACAAGACGAGACATCTGGTGCCATCATTGTCATTTTACGGGTACAGTGCCATGCTATTTGGGCTGGGCTGTTTTCATCTTACAGGGCTAATAATAAACTACCGAATATATCTAAGAATAGCACCGGTGGTATTATGTATGATTAACAAGTATCACGATGCACTCAGTATGTTTTGCCAGGATGTTGTATTCAATTTGTATCTACCTGTGCATATATTGCGGCATAGCCAATTAGCAGAGCAAATATAGGGAGAACTTTTAAGACTGCTACCACCCCATCGACCGTGACGTCGTCAAATCTGCCGCCATATTTGGTACGGGCTAAAGACAAAGATGGCCGCCCTTCCTCTTCCGGTGAGTGACAGGAACAACCCTGGCAGCACACACGGACTGACGTCGACAGAACGCTCCCTGGAACAGGCCAGAGTGGAAGAACGTCAAAGTGTATCCATGATAACGATTAGTTCACAGGAATGATGGTCGCCCCCTTATCGTAGGCACACCTCAAACCAAATGAACAATTTATGCATTAAAGATGAGCCTTCAAGTATATACTCTCCTTTTTCCAGCAAACTGAAGATGATGTCATACCATGAGACCTAGCTAACACGTACTTCATGGAATATACTGCCGGGCAAAAGAAGGTATACACTTAAAAATTGGATTTGACCATTAAAAAACAGTCACCAAAGTACTACAAACGTTAAGGTCTAAAACACAACTTGGTTAACCGTATCAAATACATCACTATCGAAAAATATTTTTAATTTTTTTAAATTTTCAGCCATGCATCATCTAACAGATGTATTTTTTTTTGCCTGGTAGTGTAGTTGTTTAAGCTAGGTACTCGACTTGTCTAGAACTAATGATAATGTTTAATATATTCGACAATTCACTGTACACATTCGTCCCTCGAATGCATCAGACTGAGTGTGCCTCTGTTGACATGATCATACGTCTTATCGTCACGATATGGCTGAAATATTGCCGATGTGACGTAAAGCTATAAGTCACTCACTCACTCATACGTCTTACATTTCAATACTTTGAAGGACAATCAACTCGGTTTATAGATTATACAGTTGTCGTGATTTCGAGATACTTGTCGGTACGTACCTCCAGGTGGTATATGAACATACTGCTCCCTCGCAGCCATGAATATGACCAGGGCAACAGCCATACTGCACAGTGGGATGACGTAGCCCCAGGCAAAGCTGACGTTCTGTTGTACATACGCGACAGCCGTGTAGGAGATCAGAGCGCCCAGATTCACAAACCAATAAAACCTGCAACATCCACACATATCTGCCAGGCAAACCAGCATAGCGTATCTCATACTGACAAACTCCCTTGTAAATAGATCAAATTGTTTTGCAACGAAATAGTCGCATATGTAACATAACAATACAGTTAGTCATAATGATTTATGTATTGAATGATGGTTTAACACAGTTGTTTTTAAGAAACCAGAGTGAAACCCGATGGTCAGTGTGTTCTCCCACATACAGTTCTAGGCCCATGACTGTCGTAATTGCAGCGCTCAGATCGCTTCGCGTAATGATGTCTCTGACACACTAGTACAAAGCGTTATTCGCTCATAAACTTTAACACGACGCATTTTAATTGCGGAAACCCATTTGTCAAGAACCCTCCACGCTGCGGCCGGTATCGGCAAAGGAAATTACAAACTTCAAAATGCTGTTTTCAAGCGTACATAATAAGGAAAGAAAGATAACAAACAAACAAACATCAACTAATGTTAAACCATGTGGCCCATGGGCCAACAGTTGCCAAAGGTCCATAATTTTTTCCTATGCTCAAAACTCATGTTGTTGCACTGCCAACACACAAAGGTATACACAAGTATCATAACTCATTGAACTATTTCTAGAAATACTTCTTTACCACTTGTTTGTGTTATTAAAACATATTTATACTTTAACATAGGCCGAAATTAGTTGCGCTAAGATCAATTTGTCCATATAGGCCCTGTTGATCTGTGGCCAACCAATTAATATTCTCTGAGGGGCTATTGTAAGGCCGACTGTAGTTGCAGGGTTAAACTCACTTTGTGTAACGGACCCCGAATCTTCATTATTCAGTGATATATACTGAACCGCAAAAGAAACGTCACCCCACATAACATTGCATGAAAAGTTGCCAAAAATTTAACATTACATTGTCCGGAAAAATGAAATTTGATGATAAAAAACAAAGCAGTTAACAATAAAACCGATCGACCAAACGCAACAAGGCAATGGCCATGGTCACCCGATGCACGTGAGTTCCGTGCAAATTGAAATGCACATGCGTTCCCCCATTTCTTGCCCTATAAAATCCATCCCAGGTCGGATAACATTCATTCGTTATGGAATTGCTACCACATGCCAAGATTGACAGGTAAATCAGCGACACCAAGCCCTTGGACGCTTGCAAGCTGTACAAACCGCCCGGCAAGTAGCCAATGCATTTCAAGTCCACGTAAGAGCCATATACAGGCTCCAGCTACGGTACCAGACCATCAACACTACCGATGACCGACCACGTAGTGGAAGACCAAGGGTCACTACCCGACGTCTGGATCGTCAGATTGTGCGACAGCATCTTCAAGATCGCTTTGTAACTGCTGCGGAATCTGCTCGACAGCGCCACATTAGTGTTGACACCGTGCGTCGACGATCGACGAGCAGACACCTCCACTGTCACAGGCCACACCGAGGACCCATTCTGACACCACGCCATCGCCGGTACCGTCTTCAGTGGGCAACACAGCAGCGCACTGGCGCCACAAGCAGTGGAGAAAAGTCATCTTCACAGACGAGAGCCGTTACAGTATCTCAACAGCAGATGGCAGGGAGAGTCTAGCAACGCCGTGGGGAACGTTATTCGGATGCTTGTGTTGTTGAGAGACTTATGGGGTGGTCCGAACATCATGGTGTGGGGTTGAATTGGTCTTGCACAGAGGCTCGGCCCTGTGGTCTTCCAGAACACCGGTCTAGGGAGAGGCAATGGTCTCACAGCAGCTCCGTACATTGATCAAGTCTTGAGACCACACGCCATACCTCATTTGGAACGTCGCCGCAACCACTAGTTTCAGCATGATAACGTCCGTGCCCACAATGCGAGAGCAACAAGAGACTTCCTCCAGCAAAATGGCATCAGAACCATGCAGTGGCCTGCCCCCAGTCCCGATTTAAATCCCTTTGAGCACCTGTATGACGAGATTCAAAGACGGCTGAATGACGTCCGAACAAGGCCGACAACTGCAGCTGAACTGCGCCAGGCGTTCCTCAGAGTGTGGGCTCAAGTGCCTATGACCTTCATCAACCGCCTCATCCATTCCATGTATCGACGTTGCACGACAGTCATCAATGCACATGGCGGACACACGAGACACTGACTTGTGATGCCATTTTCTAGTGATGTGTTTCACTTTAACAACATTTGACACTTTAATTTCATCTTTATAATCTGTCTCAAAGTATGTTTACAATGTTTGGACAAAAAAGGTTTCTTATATAATCTTTCCATGGTGACGTTTCTTTTGCGGTTCAGTATACAAAAGACCCCAGTCAATAGTGTTTTGAGATTGATAACTCTGCATGTTACACATACCAATTAAAGAATGTTTGTACAGCAAGCGGACCCTGATCTGTGACCTGCTGAGCACCGAACGGACCAACATTTGCCTTTATTCCACCCGTCCCTATGGCAACCAGAGCAAGACCAAGCAAGAAATAACCTCGTTTGGCTTCCTGCAACATGAAGACGTACATGTTCTACATGTATTTTTCTTAAATGGGAATAAAGATCGACACAGTTATCATGATTTCGGTACATTGTTCTTGATTTTTGAGTGAGTGAGTTTGGTTTGACAGCGCTTTAAACAGTATTCCAGTTATATCACGGCGCGTCAGCTTACCGTGATAGGATATCCCAAAGTGGTGCAGGTCTCATGCATTTACCACTTCGGTGAATCCACGTGCACGAGTATGGTGCTGACAAACCTAGAAACGTAGTCGGGTCGAACCGGGATTCAAACCCACAATCGTAGGTTTTTGACTTGCCCAAGGCACGCAACTCTGCACAGCGAGTTACGACCACTTAGACGACGGGGCCACCCGTGCCCCCTCTTGATTTCAGAATGGATAGTAGTCATTTGTATATCGGTTCACGTTCCAGACTCATACACATGCAACTTGAGTTACTTACAGCAAAGGAAAACTAAAACATGAGATCTAGAAATAAACATTTTTTAAAGATTGTATTCGATGAATCTACCATCGGTTGTATATCTAAGTAACTGTATTTTATGAGACACACCAAACTCAGGTCATAGGCAAGACCTGCATCGTCTTGACCAAACCACGCGATATAGTCGGCGGAGCACGCTGGCAGCAGGAACAACCCTGGAGGACAAGAGCAGGAGTCCATTGGCTATCTGACACTAATTATTACAACAGTTCTATATGAACATACAATGCAAAAACAAATGGTCAACATAAACGTTTCTTTAAAATCTAGCAGTTAAACAAATCGCCAATCAGTTAATTCGAAAGAAAATATAATGTTCAAAATAAATACCTACAATAGTTTATCATCTAATACTTAGCTAAAATATTAAGATATGTTTAATAAGCATGATTGTATATGATGTTTCTGAACATTTGCCATTTCCATAGTAACGTGTGCAGGTTCCAGTGGTTAAATACCTCAGATGGCGAGGACTGAACCTCTGGGTATCTGGGCGACCATCAACAACACACCTAACGGACAGACCACTTGATACTCGGGCCATTTGTTTTTGGCAGACAATATTTATTTCATTCTGAAAAACATGATTATATTTTCCCTTCTCAAAAATTAAAAAACCGAAGCACCCTCCACTCTCCCCAAACATCCCCAACCCCCAGCCCCTCATTAATAACAGTCATTACACAGAAAAAATAATAGGAAAAAAATACAAAAATACAAAAAGCATACAACCTACAAACAGTTATCAAATGGTCGGTCCCTAAATGAAGAAAATATACATTGCCCATACCAAGTATGTAGATAAGGCATGATCCGAGGATGGTGTTGTAGCGACCAGCAATGGAGTCTGCCACATAGCCGCCAACGACCGGGAAGAGATAGGAGGTTCCTGGAGACACCAGAGAGCAGCTGATATTAGGAAGTCGATTCCGTTTACTTATCGCACGGGCTTCAAGCGCAGTGTACTCACAGAAACTAATGTGTGTTGTACATTTTGATAGAAATCGCATCATCGACCATCCAGTGTATTATATCTTCATTCTATAAAGACAAATACCCTGGGTTCATTCGCTTCGTTTTGAATCTGACTCGAAATGAAAGAAATGGCAATCAAATAAACACATGTGCCAGAGAAATCCTTTTGAATCCTACTGATAACAAAGATGGACGTCATTTCCAAACGAAGCCATGCTAGGAATAGGTCCGGGGTATTGGTCGAAACCGACTGAAGATGAAATACACTAGATTGTCGGGGTTGTGGACACAATGCCAACCATGAATGTTCAGTGAATAAATGAATGTTGTTTAACGTCGCAGACAGCAACACGCCTGTTGTAGCACTGCGGCCTATAAATAATCCAACCTGGAAAAAGCAATAAACTGAAGGCATGTTCACCGATACACACAGTGACTGTTGAATGTACGCGTAAATGATCGACCCTAGAAGGTTTTACTAACAGTATAGAATCCAATCAACCCACATACTCTCGTACTTCTTGAGTTGTTTTAGTCTATGATAGATAAACATGCAATCTTAAAGACCACAAATGGACAACTGATGGTTCATCGCGATGGTTCGGCACATACTGATCAACTGTTTGTAGGCTCTCATTAGGTTGTCGAAGTTGTTACTGCACGGTCCTTATTAAAAGATGTTGCCACACTAGTATTCGATATTATCATTGAACTAAAGCACGTTTGGCACCAAATGTCCTCTAAGATTCATCGCAAATGAAAATCACTAATGGAGGTTGAGTGGTATCGTACGCGTATTCTGCCCTATAGCAACAATGTACTCTTTAAGGTGTGCTCGCAGTTGTTTTATATTGAAAAAAAATAATCAGATAAGTTGTCAAAATTCAAGTGTGCCTTGCTCACAAAATGAAGCTAGCCCAGCTTACGAGTCTTGCCAGCTTCAGACCACGCTTGTTCTGCGATATTAATGGTCGACTACATTTCAGTGGTTCGATATAGATGTTTAAATGAAAGAACGTGCAAAAGTTTATACATGCCTGTGAACACCAACTGAATATTGGCAGCATCTTGACTGGTGAGCTTCAGCACACTTGTACAGAACAGAACGAGGTTTCCGCTGACACCGTAGAACGTCAGCCTCTCACACATCTCGGTAACCAGGATGCATGCCACCACGCCAAAGGTCTTTATTGTCATACCTGAATAAGAGGCAGCAAGTCACCGGGGTTTAGCGTAGCGTTTGGGAGTATTCCACTCATGTATTGGCATGTAAGCTAAAACTGGAAGGAATGTCAAAGTGAACCTGTTTGGCGAACCAAAGATCACGACCATGGAATACTAATGCGTGCAAGACTAGTGAGTCAAGCATGAGCCAGGATCCACGCAGTGACAACACATAATTAAACATATGACATCTGGATGATTAATCGATACCGTCCGTCCAGGTGTTACTACTGCTGAGCGGGTCTTTCTGACCATTGGATCCTGGGCTTTATCATTTAACATTGTGTACATGTGAACTTATCTGTTCTGACATAGAATTGGGTTCCTGTGTAGAAATTGTAGAAACAGATAACCCACTACTACGTGCTTCGGAAGTTGTGACTCACTTGGTGCGTGCTGAGGACGATCTTGCACATTGGATGCGGGCTTAGTAAGATCTGGCATATTGGATACATGCTTACTAGTAAGATATAACCCATTGGATAGATGCAAAGGAAGATATGACCCACTGGATATGTGCTTAGTAAGATATGGCACAGTAGATGCACGCTCCGGAGGATGTGACACACCAGGAAGGGCTTAGGAAGATACACTCCTGCCGAGAGGTTCATTCACCCATTTGATAGTGCTTAGGAAGATATGTGTCGCTGGGTACCTGCTCAGGAAGATATGACATGTTGGGTGGCCTTTTAGTAAGATATGACCAACTGAGCGTTAGTTCTGGAAGAAGTGAACAACTGGGTAATTGCCACGGGAACTATGACCCACAAAGTAGGGATTAGGAATATAACCTGATGGTCACGTGGTATCTGATAAGGAATATGTGTCCCACAGGGTAGTTTCACGACATCAGTAAATTGGGTAACAACAGACACGAAGAGGCAAGGTTGGAATGGAATACATTTTTTGTTTTCCCTGTCAGTGGTCTTTGCGGCAAACACTATTCATCTCTTTTGATAATGATTGGATATATACTATTAGTTATGGTGTCTTTAGGTGCCGTATACGGTGTAATTTTAGGTTAGCAGAAACATATTGGGCGAGGCATGGGCGGCCACTAAAGTCACCATGACGAATTTATTATGCCGAAAAGTTTACACTATTTGGTATCTTTATCGCGCACATGTCATGTCAGTCATGTCAAAATGAATATTTGACACTTGCAACCGGTGTTACTGACTGGACCAGTACATGTGTTTCCGATAGTTCGCTTCAATGTAAACACAAACTTTAACAATGGAACAATAATGCACCAAATGTGAAGGTTTGAACAAGTTTTATAGCTAAAATGGATAGAATTATCACAAATATGCCCGCATGTTATAACAAATCTGGAGGCCACTGTAGCTTGATAGCAGTCCGCTTTTCCCGAACGACGAGCTGCTATAGCTATGTGACGTCATTGGCGTCACGTTTTTGTTTGTGACGTCATCCTATATTATGTTCTATGACGTTGCTATTTGTAATTCAGTGACCTCAGTTGTGAACCTTTTTTCTCAGTTGTTGTTATTAATAAAGTCACGAATGTGGTTTCTTGAAAAAAATATGTCTTGCCACCCACAATTTAATTATATTGAAACACCAAACAGTGTCGAATAACGAATTTCAGAATTGTCATGTGAAATGTGTGGGGTGGGAGTTGGAAAATCCAAAATGGCTGTTACTAACGGTATACGGTCTCATGTGAGGTCAGTAACAACCATCTCGAATTTTTAATGACGGTATACTCGCTCATGTGGGGTCAGTAGTTGGTCAATCTCACTTTGAGGCATAATAAATAAACTTGTTGATCCAAACTAACCAAATACATCATATCCTTATCATGAATTATGCATCATGGGCTGTTTTAAAAGACTATAATATGGCATCGGTTAATCGCCATATAAAAATCATCATAACGTCTTACATTTGTTTTAGTACATCGCAGAATATATACAAGTACTGTTTTTGTCGGAACTTGCCCTCTTTCTGTGCACTTTCATTCCATCTGTGCCCACTTGTACCTGTATGGTGGTGTGAGTCGTCTACCTCACCCAGTGAAGACACGCTGTAGTCTGGTGTCGTCGCCCCATGGGACCTCTCCTGAAGTAACCCTCTCTGTTCTTCCTGTCGTGAAGTCATTGCTTTCCCATTTGCTCTCTGTGCACCACTTTCTCCAATAACAATCTTGTACTGGAGATGACCATCCGCTCATACACCTCGAGGCTACACGTTTAGTCACACCATAGGCGATGGCACTTACTATTTGATCTGGAAGGAATCGAACGGCTGTTTACGAGTGAGTGAGTGAATGAGTGAGTGAGTGGGGAATTATTGTTAACTAATGGTTGGCTAATTGTAAACATTTGAAGATATTTGATTTTAGTTATATCCCGTCCTCTTCTGGGTTACAAAAACACCAACATATTCTCTTTCTAGCAACCACACAAAACATCCCCACTCATTCTCTCCTTCCTGACAAAAATACAACACATTCCCATTCGATATCTCCTTCCTGGCAAAACAACACATTCAGACTCGAATTCTCCCTTATAGCAATACAACACATTCACACTCGTTCTCTCTCTTATAAGCAATATAACCCATTCACACTCGATCTCTCCCTTATAGCAATACAACACATTCACACTCGATCTATCCCTTATAGCAATATAACACATTCCCACTCGATCTCTCCCTTATAGCAATACAACACATTCACACTCGATCTATCCCTTATAGCAATATAACACATTCCCATCCGATCTCTCCCTTATAGCAACACAACACATTCCTACTCGATCTCGCCCTTATAGCAAAAAACAAATTTCCTACTCGATCTTTCCCTTATAGCAATGCAACACATTCCTACTCGATCTTTCCCTTTTAGCAATGCAACACATTCCTACTCGATCTTTCCCTTATAGCAAAAAACAAAATTCCTACTCGATCTTTCCCTTATAGCAATGCAACACATTCCTACTCGATCTTTCCCTTATAGCAATGCAACACATTCCTACTCGATCTTTCCCTTATAGCAATGCAACACATTCCTACTCGATCTTTCCCTTATAGCAATGCAACACATTCCTACTCGATCTTTCCCTTATAGCAATGCAACACATTCCTACTCGATCTTTCCCTTGTAGCAATGCAACACATTCCTAATCGATCTTTCCCTTGCAGCAATACAACACATTCCTGCTCGATCTCGCCCTTATAGCAATACACCACATTCCTACTCGATCTTTCCCTTATAGCAGTGCAACACATTCCTACTCGATCTTTCCCTTATAGCAATGCAACACATTCCTAATCGATCTTTCCCTTGCAGCAATACAACACATTCCTGCTCGATCTCTCCCTTATCCCCATACGATCAACACATTCCCACACGATCTCTCCATTTTAGGAATACGTTCAACATATTCCTACTCGATCTCTCCCTTATAGCAATACAACATATTCCTACTCGATCTCACCCTTATAGCAATACACCACATCCCCATTTGATCTCTCCATTATAGCAACACAACACATTCCTACTCGATCTCGCCCTTATAGCAATACAACACATTCCTACTCGATCTTACCCTTATAGCAATACAACACATCCCCACTCGATCTCTCCCTTGTAGCAATACAACACATCCCAACTCGAGCTCTCCCTTTTAGGAATACGTTCAACATATTCCTACTCGATCGCTCCCTTATAGCAATACAACATATTCCTACTCGATCTCACCCTTATAGCAATACACCACATCCCCATTCGATCTCTCCATTATAGCAATACAACACATTCCTACTCGATCTTTCCCTTGCAGCAATACAACACATTCCTGCTCGACCCCTTCCCCTTATAGCAATACAACACATCCCCACTCGGTCTCTTCTTTATAGCAATACAACATATTCCCACTCGATCTCTCCTTTATAGCAATGCAACACATTCCTACTCGATCTTTCCCTTATAGCAATGCAACACATTCCTACTCGATCTCGCCCTTATAGCAATACACCACATTCCTACTCGATCTTTCCCTTATAGCAATGCAACACATTCCTACTCGATCTCTCCCTTATCCCAATACGATCAACACATTCCCACACGATCTCTCCATTTGAGGAATACGTTCAACATATTCCTACTCGATCTCTCCCTTATAGCAATACAACATATTCCTACTCGATCTCACCCTTATAGCAATACACCACATCCCCATTTGATCTCTCCATTATAGCAACACAACACATTCCTACTCGATCTCGCCCTTATAGCAATACAACACATTCCTACTCGATCTTTCCCTTATAGTAATACAACACATCCTCACTCGATCTCTCCCTTGTAGCAATACAACACATCCCAACTCGAGCTCTCCCTTTTAGGAATACGTTCAACATATTCCTACTCGATCTCTCCCTTATAGCAATACAACATATTCCTACTCGATCTCACCCTTATAGCAATACACCACATCCCCATTCGATCTCTCCATTATAGCAACACAACACATTCCTACTCGATCGCGCCCTTTTAGCAATACAAAACATTCCTACTCGAGCTCTCCCTTATCCCAATACGATCAACACATTCCCACACGATCTCTCCATTTAAGGAATACGTTCAACATATTCCTACTCGATCTCTCCATTATAGCAATACAACACATTCCCATTCGATCTCTCCCTCATAGCACTACAACACATCCCCACTCGATCTCTCCGTTATAGCAATACAACATATTCCCACTAGATCTCTCCTTTATAGCAATACAACACTTCCCAACTCGATCTCTCCTTTATAGCAACACAACACATCCCAACTCAAGCTCTCCCTTATCCCAATACGATCAACACATTCCCACACGATCTCTCCATTTTAGGAATACGTTCAACATATCCCAAAACGATCTCTCCTTTATAGCAATATAACACATTCCCATTCGATCTCTCCTTTATAGCAACACAACACATCCCAACTCAAGCTCTCCCTTATCCCAATACGATCAACACATTCCCACACGATCTCTCCATTTTAGGAATACGTTCAACATATCCCCACTCGATCTCTCCTTTATAGCAATATAACACATTCCCATTCGATCTCTCCTTTATAGCAATACAACACATCCCCACTCGGTCTCACCTTTATAGCAATACAACATACTCCCACTCGATCTCTCCTTTATAGCAATACAACACATTCCCACTCGATCTCTCCATTTTAGCAATACGTACAACACTTTCCTACTCGATCTCTCCCTTAGCAATACAACACATAACTACTAGATCTCTCCTTTATAGCAATACAACACATTCCCACTCGATCTCTCCTTTATAGCAATACAACACATTCCCACTCGATCTCTCCTTTATAGCAATACAACACTTCCCCACTCGATCGCTCCTTTATAGCAATACAACACATTCCCACTCGATCTCTCCCTTTTAGCAATACGTACAACGCATTCCCACTCGATCTCTCCATTAGCAATACAACATATTTCTACTTGGTCTCTCTCTCTACCACTACTTTTTTGGAAGGAGTTAAATAAGTCCTTGAGTAACGATCTGTACATTACGTTCCTCAATGTATCTAGACTAAAACTTAGTCAATGAAAACATTTCTTTATAATAATTATTATATTTTTTCTTAAAAAGAACCTTTCCTCTTCTGCTGTTTTCATGTCAAGGAAACTAGGCTTGGTTTAGTTTGATCTAGATTTGCCGAGGCTTTTAGTAAATTATATAAAAGATTCCAGTCATGGCGCATGTCCATATTCTGTGTTCTCAAAACTATCTCTTATCTTATAATGGAACTGAGCACGTGAAGATCCACAGCTAATGCTGAAACAAGGTTGATAGAAAGTTAGAAACCTATTCCTGTACCAAGCTCTGCGGGTTGACGGCCGTCCCGTAATGCAGTGTTACACAACACAAGTGACCCTGTAGGCCATCTCGCCATACCGCGGTACAGTCACATGCTCCCAGTTATCTTCGTCATGACATAATCCATGCATGTTAACATATGGTACATAAAGAACTTGAGAATGTACCCCATTTGAAAGCGGAAACAATTTCCTCGTCACGCTGTCTTCCAGTTCAAGTCAGTTATCTCCGCAAAGTGTCACGATAAGGGTCAAAAGGTCAACTGTCCCCGATATAGGACTTGCAACCGTCACTGATATTCACAAGTAGTCAGTCGGCATACTAACGGATAATGAAACTACACTTGTGTATCGGCAGTGTGGAGGCGTGTGTGTCTAGGACGCGAATAATATTTGCTTGATTGAATAACTGAAGTAAATAGCAAGTCACGTTTGACATGCGGACAGTCCTGAAAGTGGACAGGTGAAGGCTACATAGCGTGTCGGCTTCTGTCAACTCCATATCACATGCAGAGAGTTCATACGAGGTCGAACTGCCTCAGGTCAAAGGAGAGTTTTAGTGGTATACAAGAGAAACTACAATGTGAACTTACTGTACACCTGGGTCGAACATGCCGAACTTAACTGTTAGGGTGCCTTCACGAGTTTGTGATTATATAATAAATCAGAGTTATCCGCCCTTCACAGTGTTCACACTCACCCTTCGACTGCTAGCTCGAGTGTACTTCTTACAGAGCCAAGTACGTAAATATGTGTTTGCTATATGACGGCGGTCTGTAAACAGTCGAGCCTGGGCCAGGGATTGACATTATCTGAAGATCGATCCTCACAATTGAGATACCAGAGCACATGCTATCAACCATGTCGAGTCTCAATGCAACATCCAGTCCATTAAGGCGCATTTTACGACAAGTGTACGTTGCTAGGGACCTATATTCTCACCCGGAAACCCCATGGGTGAAATGCGTACGTACATGCGTATTATTCGAGTTGAATACACGCAAAATGAAAAAAAACCACGTCACATGTACTGCAGTTCGTCAACATATACTTTGTTATATATTTTTTTAAAGGTTTAGCAACTATTAAGAAGCGAATCTGGTGAAATAGACATGCATGTCAATGTAGCTGTGAATTAATGTAACGTCCATCGAGTGTCATGCGTACATAATTTTTGTCACTGATCAAATTTCGAAATGTCCTCCATATATGGCTTCCATAAAACTTTCTGATAGCTCAACCATGTAGAGGCGACTTTTACTGTTAACGTATACGTTTACTATGAAAATAGCATAACAAGACTGTCAACTCATTGCCTCGTGAAATACATGCACTTTCTTGCGACAATGGAGATTGGATGGTTAGGGATATTTAAATCAAATACCATCACCCCCAACCCCATCGTCAGACACACTGACACAGATACGCACACACATACAAAGACACAGACACACACACGCACACACAGACACATACACATACACACACGTTCGAACGCGCGCAACTCTCCCACCCCCAACCCACCCTAACTATCAGATTTATGTGAAGTACATGCATCAAGCGAATCAATTAACCAGGTTTTGTGTACGTCTTTCGATTTCGATGACCCATTTCGAATTTATTGTCGTCAAATGGTCTACTGAAAACTGCAGGCTGAAGAAAACAGTGTTAAATATTGACATCTCGGGATATTTCATTTCAGGTTTGAGTATTATCCGGGTTTAAGGCACGGGATCCCACAATAGCTTCAGGCGCCACAATACGCTGTGCAGATAGATGTGAAGTCCCAGTGGTGAGTCAAAAACCGAAGGTTGTGGGTTCGAATCCCATCATTATTCTAGGTTTGTCAGCACCATACCCGTGCTCGTGCGTTTCCTCAAAGTGGTATACGTCAAGACTTTCTGCCCCATAAAACTGTAATTTAACTGAATAAATCTTGTAACGGCGTTAAACAAAAAACATCATTCACTCATTTGCCGGGTGTAATTCCTGCTCCAGAGTCAGTAGTCGATGTCCACCTGTGTGGCCCCTCCAGTACATTCTGTGTATGCGTGAACACTCGGTAGAATGACTCGGCAGTGTCAGGTAAGATATGGCCTGGAATAGATTGCAGCATGGGAGCTATCACAATAACGCTCCTTCTATACGAAGTAAATATGGCTGCATGATTATGTTTAGTTTAAACATATTTTATTCAGGCAATCATCTCTGTACTAGCGGGCAAACGTTGTGTGTAAGTGAGGATTTCGCACTATTGGCAGGTAAGATATGGCCTGGAATAGATTGCAGCATGGGAGCTATCACAATAACGCTCCTTCTATACGAAGTAAATATGGCTGCATGATTATGTTTAGTTTAAACATATTTTATTCAGGCAATCATCTCTGTACTAGCGGGCAAACGTTGTGTGTAAGTGAGGATTTCGCACTATTGGCAGGTAAGATATGGCCTGGAATAGATTGCAGCATGGAAGCTATCACAATAACGCTCCTTCTATACGAAGTAAATATGGCTGCATGATTATGTTTAGTTTAAACATATTTTATTCAGGCAATCATCTCTGTACTAGCGGGCAAACGTTGTGTGTAAGTGAGGATTTCGCACTATTGGCAGGTAAGATATGGCCTGGAATAGATTGCAGCATGGGAGCTATCACAATAACGCTCCTTCTATACGAAGTAAATATGGCTGCATGAATATGTTTAGTTTAAACATATTTTATTCAGGCAATCATCTCTGTACTAGCGGGTAAACGTTGTGTGTAAGTTAGGATTTCGCACTATTGGCAGGTCCAGATTGACTATACGATTTACACTCCTTTTGTACAGTTCTCCTCCAGGCCCGACTGCATCACTGTTTTTACACAGCACTCCCACGGGCCCGAACGCATCACTCATTTTACACAGTTCTCCTCAAAGCCCGACTGCATCATTGTTTTTACACAGTTCTCCCCCAGGCCCAGTTGCATCACTGTTTTTACACAGCACTCCCACGGGCACGAACGCATCACTCATTTTACACAGTTCTCATCCGGGCCCGACTGCGTTTAGTCTTTTTACAAAGCACTCCCACGGGACCGACGACATCACTCATTTTACACAGTTCTCCTCCGGGCCCGTATGCATCACTGTTTTAACAAAGTTCTCCTCCAGGCCCGACAGCATCGCTCTTTTTACACAGCACTCCCAAGGGCCCTAATGCATCACTCATTTTACACAGTTCTGACTCTACCACTTTTTACAAAGTGCATGTACTCCACCGGCCCCGACTGCATCACTCTTTTTACACAGTTCTCATCACAATATTCCCTTTAGCTCGACGGTATGTCAGTATTTGAGCCAAAAGGACCCAATAAATGAGCTGGACGTGACAAATATGGACTTTTACGATAGAAAGTAAAGCCGTGTTCTCGTGGTGTCGACTTCGTGTTGTTTGTGCGTGGGACATAGATGACGTAAGACGTCACGTGTCTGATCATGTGACATTCCTGATATGGGCTCGTTACTACGAACGCCAAGTGCTACGCTCGTAGTACTTTTAACGGCTGGTAAGTCTTTCATAATTTGTCACTTGTTGCAGTAATTTTTATTACTTTTCACGATTGTCTGACAGTAGGATTGTGTATGATGATTTGTATGAATTGTGCAGGGATAAGGGGAGACTTTTGGACTGGTTAGAGGATGTAGGCGTGATAGGACAGTTTGGAGGGCCTTGCTGTAAGTGTGAGAATGGTGTGATAAGCAGGAGGACGGACAGCAGTAGGAGTGAGGGGTATGTGTGGCGGTATAGCAACAAGAGGTGTCATCATAAGATGTCAGTGAATTCTAATTTGTCCATTCCTGACATTTTGAAAATTACTTTTTATTGGGTTTACAGGTCCAGAGAAGACTTTGTTAAAGTTCAGTTCAAAAACATGGTTCAGTTCTCACTTTGGTTGATTGGTACAATTTTTGCAGGGTGGTTTGTTTGAAGAGTTTGGAAGGAGAGAATGAGGCAATCGGGATACCTCAGGTAGAAGTAGAAATAGATGAGTCCAAATGTGGGGAAAGAAAGTTTCATAAGGGGAGGAGAGTGGATGGTGTTTGGGTGTTTGTTGGGATTGAAAAGAATTCAAGTAAGATGTTCATCACTGCTGTTGACAAACGAAATTAAGAAACATTGATCCCAATTATTAAAAGATGGATTAAACCGGGATCAATAATTCATTCGGACTGTTGGAAGGCATATGACTGTTTAGGATCTTTGGAGGGGATGGGGTATAGTATTAGTTGTTATCCATAAACTGTGTCTACTTTGTGAACTTACCGGACGAATCCAACTTTAAGTTTTCAAAAAGGGGCGTAACACCCCCCTTTAGCCACCCCCCGTTTTTTCATTTACAATTTGAATTGAACACCCACACACCCGCACCCACACCCCACACCCACCGCTGTTTGGTACTTTAAACATTCGACAGCGTTCGGTATGGTAGAAAAATGGCGGCTTGCAAATCCTCTCTCTTCAACAGTAAATAGCGAAGTGCGCATGCGTGGAACGTTTGTATTTTGCATTATTTTTACTTAAAACATATTACTTTTAGAGATTTACTTTGCCTCTATTTTCTGTACATTAATTTTTAAATAGTCTCTTATCGCTCAGTAAAGAGTGTCTCATTACAATTTTAAAACTGCGTATTTTTATCATGATGTTTATATCAATTGTAATGATGTTAGAATTTAATAAACTGTCTATCTGTGTGTGTGTGGTCTGATGTAGGACTGATATCAGAAGTGATCAAAAGGCATACAAAAGTAAAAATGTCAATGTTATAGTTCTCAGTGCAATATACATACAGTTATGACTTAAACATACAGAAATGATGTCTCCCAATAAGGCAACTGTACAAATATTGTTTATTCTACCCCTTTAACAACTATGTACATAAGAGACACATCTCTTCTCAGTAACAACGTACGTGGGGAGACTGGCATACATAGCGTCTCACGTTGCCCGGTGGTTTCATGATCAATTGAAAGTTTAATGTTTCACACGTTGCCTGCGTGATTTCATGATCAATTGAAAGTTCAGTGTTTCACACGTTACCTGCGTGATTTCATGATCAATTGAAAGTTCAATGTTTCACACGTTGCCTGTGTGGTTTCATGATCAAGTGAAAGTTTAATGTTTCACACGTTGCCTGCGTGGTTTCATGATCAATTGAAAGTTTAATGTTTCACACGTTGCCTGCGTGATTTCATGATCAATTAAAAGTTCAATGTTTCACACGTTGCCTGCGTGATTTCATGATCAATTGAAAGTTCAATGTTTCACACGTTGCCTGTGTGGCTTCATGATCAAGTGAAAGTTTAATGTTTCACACGTTGCCTGCGTGGTTTCATGATCAATTAAAAGTTCAATGTTTCACACGTTGCCTGCGTGATTTCATGATCAATTGAAAGTTCAATGTTTCACACGTTGCCTGTGTGGCTTCATGATCAAGTGAAAGTTTAATGTTTCACACGTTGCTTGCGTGGTTTCATGATCAACAGAATGGTCAATGTTTCACACGTTGCCCGATGGTTTCATAATCAATTGAATGGGCAATGTTTCACACGTTGCCCCATGGTTTCATGATCAATAGAAAGTTTAATGTCTCACACGTTGCCTCTGTGTGGTTTCATGATTAATTGAAAGTTTAATGTTTCACACGTTGTCTGCGTGGTTTCATGATCAATTGAATGGTCAATGTTTCACAAACAACTCTCCGAGTCAATAGTTCTTTTTATAAAAACGTCAATTGCTAAGGTATCATATATATATGGGAAAAAAAATGGGACGAGGGTTGATTTACAGTAGACCCATGAACGAATGGTTTCTGCCCCACCGAGAATGACGTAGAACACAAATAACATCGTTAGAGCAATCATAATCGGCCAAGCATACACTTGTTTATGCGTAAAGAGCAGCTCTAACGGGAGCTGTATGATCGACTTATGACATCAGTTCTTTCGTCGTACTTTACAGAGACCACGAGACGTCAGTAGTTTCTGTCATACTTAAAGAGACCAAGAGACGTCAGTCGTGTCTGCCATACTAAAAGAGACCAAGAGACATCAGTCGTGTCTGTCATACTTAAAGAGACCAAGAGACATCAGGAGTGTCTGTCATACTTAAAGAAACCAAAAGACGTCAGTAGTTTCTGTCATACTAAAAGAGACCAAGAGACGTCAGCAGTTTCTGTCATACTTAAAGAGACCAAAAGACGTCAGTAGTTTCTGTCATACTAAAAGAGACCAAGAGACATCAGTCGTGTCTGTCATACTTAAAGAGACCAAGAAACGTCAGTAGTTTCTGTCATACTTAAAGAGACCAAGAGACATCAGTCGTGTCTGTCATACTTAAAGAGACCAAGAAACGTCAGTAGTTTCTGTCATACTTAAAGAGACCAAGAGACATCAGTAGTGTCTGTCATACTTAAAGCGACCAAGAAACGTGAGTAGTTTCTGTTATACTTAAAGAGACCAGGACACACCTAAACTTTCTGTCATGCTTGAAGAGGATGAAACAGTCGTAAAATCGCAGAACCCTCCCCACAGCTGCATATGCATGACAACTGTGTTATGAAGCAGGAGTCGGTCATTCAGAGTGATTAAAGGCTTTTCGGAGACTTACGGAATAACATTTTTATGTATGAATATTCGTTAACTGGACGAACAGGCTTCTTCTATGTCCAGAAGTCAACATTTCATAATTCGGCCTTGGTTGTTTTCAATCTTCCTTCTTGAGACTACATGGTCAAACAGAATATTCACTTTGACTTGGTCAGTCCATACAGCAACCAATTCACTCGATCCGCCCAGCAACCACAATTCTATCCATCCATCAACCAGGTAGTTTTGTCTGTTCAGCAACAAGTTAACTCCGGTCACAGGACCACGAGTTCCGTTGGTTCATCGTGCATCAACATATCTCTATCCATACAGTCAGCACAAATAGTGAGTGAGTTGGGTTTAACGCCGTTTTTAACATTATTCCAGTTATATCACGGGGTGTCAGCTTCATGTGGGAGGAAAGCCCGAGGTGATGCAGATCCCAGATGTTTACCACTTCGGTGAAACCCACGAGCACGGGTATGGTGCTGTCAAACCTAGAAACATAATCGGGGCGAACCGGGATTACACCCACAATCATAGGTTTCTGGCGTACCCAAGGGACGCAACTCTGCACAGCAAATCGCGGCGCCTTAGACGACTGGGCCACCCGTGCCCCCTCAGCACAAATAGAATTTGGGTGGCTGTTTTTGTATGGAAACCGAAACGTATATATAAGTTGAGTGTTTTCTTGCAATGAAGGAAGAACCGCGTATCTTTCAACACATTACTAGACGTAATTGTAAACCTATACATCTAAAAATATCTTCTGAAATAGTTTTTGGTCGATAATTATTATATAGTTAAGCAGATTGATCCAAACAGGAAACCGTCTATAGCGAAGAGTCGGTGTTTTAACTAATTACACAATACGTTGAAGGCAAATATATTTTGATGATATCAACAGGAACTAGATGGGTACGCATGTATCCCTCAGACCTTGTCATCCCGTATTGTCCGGATCAGGAAGCACGCGAATACGATCCCCAGGATCTGCAATGTGAAAATAGCATTTCAGTTCTTGACTGGAAACAGATATCATAATTTTGAATTTTCAAAAGGCTACATACGATAGTCTCTTAAACGAGTTCTATGAAATAAAATGATTATATTTCCGTTGTTTACAACACTTTTTACGAACCTTTAACATGCTGTGTTGACCTCTAACTAACAAATTAAAGAACGACCGTCGTGTATATGTATATCCCTTTGTGGTACACTGTTTATTTTATTTGTATGTATAACACTTTGTTGTATATGGGCTAGAGGCCTTTTGTACAACAAACATCCTTTGACTTTGATACACCAAGAACAAAGTCGTACTGACCTCTTACACAGAATGGACGAAGTTGTACTGACCTCTTACACAGAAGGAACAAACCTGTACTGACTTCTAAGACAATAAGAATAGAGCTCTACTAACCTCTGTCCCAATAAGAATAGGGCTGTACTAACCTCTAAAGCCACAATTATAAAAGCGATGATAATGATGTACATGGCTTGCGTCAGTAAGTGATCTCGAATCGTGTCGTAACAAGGCTGAAATGGAACACAGCGATGATTATCAGTTGCAGAGAAGTGAGTTCAGTGTTCGTTAACAATAGTCACCGAGCTACAGTCAGTACTTGTAAAGAAGTTATTGTTATTATAATAGACGAGAAAATACATTGCGTTTCTGTATACTGATAACGTCAAGACCCTAAACACGAACTGCTTTGTTTATAGTGATGAGCATGGACCAAGCATTTTCTGGGACTATATATTTTTGTCGGCCCTCTTATGCAACATTTGGGTCAGCGTATTTGAGTATGATATCGACCGGGAATGTTGCCCCGTCCCAGGAGAGCCTACCCTTGCAATATTAGAGTTCTTATAGGTTGGCGCGGTGGTGCAGGTGAGATCGTTCACGACGAACACGTTGATAGCGTAGAACTTCTGCTTGTCCAGCTTGCAGCAGGCAATGGGGATGATTCTCGAGACGCGCTCGGTCCACTTCTCAGCCATGATTTTAAAATCGCTGTAGTTGCTTATTCCACAACAGTCAAACTGAATAAAAGACAAGAATATTGACATGTGCTCATTGCAGCTGAACTTAGTGATAAGGTGGTCTCATAGCTGATTTTTGTTTGCTTTTTTACACAGCAACGCAAGTCCAGCTGTATGACGGCAGGTGTAAATAAACGAGTCTAGCCTTACAGAGAAGTGGTAGATTATCATCACTCTCGTCCCACGTTGATGGGATCCCATGATACGCTGACGACCCGGGACTGACCGCCCGATCCACTGAAGCTGTATACGTCTCTGTATACGACGGCTATACGTATGGTTCCTAACAACGTCCATATACTAGAGCGTCCGCCCGGAGAACGCAATGTCGGGGGTTCAATCCCCGGCCGCGTTTTACCCCAAAAACTCGAAACGATGGTACTTGTTGGCGCTCGGCATTCAGGGGCTAAAACGAGGACTGGTCGGCTCGAATCAGCACATTGTGTCTGAGCGTGGTTTTCATGTTAAACTACGGCATGGTACCTCAGTGGACTAGCACTGTAAAATCGGCATGTGTACACACACATGCGCACACGCACACGCACATGCGTACGCACGCACGCATGCGCGCGCGCGTGCATGTACGTCGCTGTATAAGTGCAGTAATCTTGAAAGCGACTTCAAACCACATTTCACCTGGTTCTACCCCATCCGTCAGACAGCTCATGTGTTAGACACCCCGTTGTTAGACAATTTACTAAAAACGAAAAGTGGGTTAACTTGTTCCTGTATTGGGCTAGTCCAATCTGGGTAGGTTTATTAGAACTTCTACTAATTAGGATTACTGACCGGTGAAAAGCGTTTAAAGTAACGTAGTTAACTATAGGGTCTCTCAGAAAAGGAATTACAGACGTTGTACACTTGTATCTGATGAGTTATAAGACTCAAAATAAAAAGTATTTGATATTCAACAGTAGATGTTTAGTGTTGATATGACCCTTCTGATGTTTGTTTATTTGAATTGATAGAGCTGTAATTGATTTGATATGTGTATATATGGCATAATAGTAGTGCTGATATTGGTTGAATATTGTTCATATGATTCATGTCTTCAGTTGCTGGTGCTGTAAATAAACATGTGACTGTTTGTGGTGTTCTTTCTTACAGATGGGAGGACACCTTTTACCACACCTCACATTATACTAACTGCTATGTAAAAGTAATATAAATAATCACAAAACCGCGTTGGTTTTCGTCATCCATTATCATTGTCTGTTAGCCGCCTCCGTGATCTTGTGGTAGAGCGTCCGCCCGGAGAACGGAAGGTCCGGGGTTTGATCCCCGGCCGCGTCATACCAAAAGACGTTAAAAGATGGTACTTGTTGTTACCCTGTCTGGCGCTCGACATTAAGGGGCTAAAACAAGGACTGGTCGGCTCGGAGTCAGTATACTGTGTCTGAGTGGGGTATTCATGTTAAACTGCGGCATGGTATCTCAGTGAGCTAGCACTATAAATCGGCATCAGTCCGGACTAGTACAAGCAGCCACACACACACACGTGCATGCACGTCGCTATATAAGTGCAATAATCTTGGACGCGACGTTAAACCCAATCACCTCATCACCTCATTGTCTGTTACATTTAACTGCGGTTGGAATCCCATTTACAGAATACAATGTAAGTACAGATAGCCTCAAGACAATTAAATGTACATTTTGCAAGTACAGGCATATGTCGTTCCGCATCAACTGAATCATGAATATTTTGCAGTGAAGATTTGGCACACAATTTCATATTTCATATACAGAAATATTTCATGATCCTTAAATTGTTTTCTGCAAGCATGCAAAGCGTCCGTGTGTATTCGTAATTATTTTAGTAGGACATTATCGATAATATACGATGAAATAAGAGGTGATGATACTGGTATGAATTCGAACATATAGCCAAATAGTAAAGGTCACTAGTGATAGAAGAGCTCGATGTTAATATGTACCATATACGTGACAGTGAGGGATCGCCTCAGCGTTATTACAATACAGGGAAGACATAAGTGATGTTTTTCTCGGGTTACGATATCAAGCATTCGGCTCACCCCAATTCCACTTGTCATCTCGGCGTGCACTAGGAGGAATCCATGTTGGATCATCTAGCTTTTCTCTCTCTCTCTCACATGACACGACGTACCATTCATTATAAGCGTCGCGGTACGCGGTGGGATATGGAAAGATACTGTAACAAATTATGGACTGAGGGATATCCTAACTTCACTCCTGACCTAAGAGGTTTTTGGATATTGGAAAAAAAACCGATCGGAACCGAGTGAATATCAAGTTGACGGATCGTCTCCTATACATATCAGTTACGTCACTTTGAATGTCTAAACTCCAAACATGGCTGGTAAAACCATGTAGTGTGAGGACTCCACATTCTGCATACTGAAGTAAGTGCATGGGTTTCCACTTTAATGCAATTTCACCAGCTCAGGAATGAATGCAATTTAATCTTCTCAAGTCGAATTTTATTACGTCGTTTAAGACGATGCAACTTTATTTTTCCAAGCAGACCTTTCTCAACGCTACAGTTTACTCTCGGTACTTCGCCTTTCTCGAACTATCCGGATACATTCGTTGGTTCACACGACTTTGAGTTATCGACGTTTGAAAGTATCAGCCTGCAAGAGAGTTAGGCTGTTACGTTGACAAAGACGGTCCAGCAGAACTTACTGGATTTATGCAAGCAACCACCGTTATGGTAGGACGGTGTTCCACTCATGGTTGATACTGCCCCATCCCTATGACTCATTTCATAGTGAATGCGCTTTGGTGTGGCTATAACGAGGGATCCTTGCGGGCAAAGGTATTGGTGTATTATTGTTTCTGAGATTCTGACACTCAGTTATAATATGTGAACAGGATAATGAATGTGGTAATGTATTTCTTCAGAGAAATACAATGGAACTGTCTTCCGTCTTCACCGTAAGATTCGGACGAAAGCCATTGTATTTTACTGCATGCATGAAATGCCACGTTAATGTAAAATCCGGGTTATCATTTTTGAGAAGACTATTTCAGGCCGACGTATGTCATCGCGTTTAGGACCACTTTCCGTACCACACGCATTGACTGTCACATTAATTGTTTTAACCTGGGTATTAAGTTGGTTGGATAATTGTCGGCCATTTTTCAAGTTTGTGACCTTACCTCGATCATCGCGAAATCAAGCGACTTCCCAAACTGTAAATTGGTATCCCCCCGGCCGTCGTACTGAGTTTTGACCTGCTCCAATAGCCAGCCCTTCACTTCCTTATCCGCCTGCAACACAAGCTACCTACAATCAATGCATGAAATATCGCAGACATCGTGTGTAAACCGTTCATTCATCGGACTCTCATGATCAGCCTGCAAGCCAGCCTCAAACAATATGTAATCTCCTTTCTATAACCCTCTTGGGAAGTAATGGCTTAGTCTTCTGAAGTGACACAATGTGATGTGAAGAGTAGCGTCTCATAGACCTATCAGGATGCTATGATAGGTGGTGCCAATCCCAGGATCTTTTTCAGCACCATATCCGTGTTTAAAATGCCGTTATTAAGTCCCACTCACTCAGTCATCCACCCAAACCCTCCAACAGATAAAACGCGACATGAGACCATGTACCTGTGTTCTGAAGTTAGCGGCCAGAGCTCCCGCTGCAATTTGCACAATCAAGATGAGAGACAGCAGACCGATATACTGAAAGACAACAGACGGTGTTAAAACTACACAATATTAAAACGAAAACATGATATCCTAAATGTAACATAGACCATAAACGCTACGTAACGTCAAAACAAATTGTTCTTTATGTCTAAAAATATGAATATATATATTAATGTCTTGATTTCTATAAATGATAGTTATCGCTATTTGACTACTTTGATGCTTTGAAGTACGGTGTATCTTGATCCAATAACAAAAGGATCTTGAAATCTTATATATTAAAAGAAATCTCATCATTATTTCTTTTTTAGAATTTGAAATTTGGATAGAGAATCTCATCCGAGTGTCTTTTGATATCAAATATATCAACATGAGTTGATAAAAGTGGAAAAACTCCGAGGCTTGCCGAATTTTTTCCTCTTTTATCAAAGAGCGTTGATATATTTGATATAAAAAAAAACAAGGGTGAGATTCTATTTATCATCCAACATCATTCTTCCAACTTTTTCAGTTTGTAGACAGTAATAAGCAGTGTCTTAAGTGTAAAAAAGTACTGCTAACAGCTTCAGTAGCAGAGCCATTAGTGATGTCATTTGATTGTTACGTCATGGTAACCAATGACGTCACAATGTTCTGCAAAACGTGATGCAATTAAATTGCAGTGACATCTACAATGTAGATATCGATTGATCTCGCCCAAGCGATATCTCCTGTGGGAGCAAGTTTAGGATGATAAATTACACTGTCCACTCACTATTGCATAGATATACATAGTTTTGTGGGGTGGCCAATTGGTTCTCATTTTCGCTTCTCGTGCCCCAAGAACTGAATATATCACTGAGCAATTTGTATCGACTATAATAAATGTTATATTTGGGATAACACTTTCTTAGTAAAGTACAGATTCTCGTATTTTTTTTATTCGAACCCACACTTGCCAGAGTGAGGCACCTAATCGCCAGCACACAATTTAGGCATTGTGTATTCATAGCTTTCGGCCATGGGAGCCGTGCCAATTTACACTTGTCAGAGGGGTACTCAAAGTACGTGATCTAGACTACCAGTTGTCGGACTTTCATTTTGTGGAAGCTTGGTGGCTCAGTGGGTTAGATCGCTGACTTTGTGTGCTGGCGATTAGGTGCCTCACTCTGGCAAGTGTGGGTTCGAATCCCGGACGGGACTCAACCCCAAAAAGTACGAGAATCTGTACTTTACTAAGAAAGTGTTATCCCAAATATAACATTTATTACATTTGACCACTTTCTAAATGGCATTGTTTATTCATTGTATCGACTAGTACGGACTTACCACTCCAAGAAGGCACTTGCTCTCCCTGCACGCCCCACAGCAACCAAAGATGGCGAACAGAACTATGATGCTGCTCCCGACTAGTATAGCATAAGCTCCACTCGTCATCACCCCTGTTCCACCAGAGTCTATGTTTGCAAAATTGTTCAGCAACGGCTTGTCAACAAGGATCAGAATACCAATCACAACGCCTGCCATACCAGTCACCTGAAACCATGCACAGTTCCTGTTGAGAGACTTCCAACATCATAGCCCATGGGGAACACCTGATCTGTTCTTTTAATTGACATACAGTAAAGTACGGTTATAACGAACTCAAAGGGACTACTAATTTTAGTTCGTTATAACCGTAGTTCGTTATAAGCATATATACAGCATAATACAGCTAATTATCGGGACCAAAAAAGTAGTTCGTTATATCCGTCAGTTCGTTATAAGCGTGTTCGTTATAACCGTAGTTTACTGTACTGACCATAATGAGACTGAATTCAATTTCACACGTCCAGGTAAAGTAACATTTGACATATTTTCTCATAAACGAACACAGTAGATACTTCACTCATCATCCAAACATCAATGAATTTTGGTCCCTCTTCTTAATCCAAAAAGTTATTATACTTAAAAATCTTACTAAATTTGTGCAATTGTATTTTCAAACAATTTAACTAATCTAGGTAACTTCAATGTCTCTGTATTTCTGTAACCAGTCTACCCAATGTCTACTCCTCCGCAATCCTGTGTGAAAATTTCAGGGAATAAGGATATTCCCTGATCATACATATTTCCTGTCACATATACACTTGTATTATACGTATTGTAACTCTCGTATGCTTCCGGCAAGAGTGTAAAGAAAGTAATGTTCTGTTATGAAATGTTATATACTCACCAGAAACAGAAAGTTGAAGAAAATGAGCGTGTACTTGGCACATGTTGGCCACGTCCCCTTCACCATTGTGTCTGTGTCTGTGGAAAGACAAACACAATCAGCAAAATAAACAAGGAATATATACAGTGACATCCCGTAAATCCAGATGGTACCGTTTCTAGTTAGCTGCGGTAACGGTATCACCTCCGTCGTTCATCGTTTCTTATCAGCTAGGTCGATCGGGTAGCCTAGTGGTTAAAGCGTTCGCTCGTCACACCGAAGACCCGGGTTCGAATCCCGACATGGGTACAATGTGTGAAGCCCATATTGCTGGAATATTGCTAAAAGCGGCGTAAAACCAAACTCACTCACCAACTTCTTATCAGCTATTCTCTAAGTCAATGCTCATGGCTACGGATAGACCCATTAGAAAAGGGTGCTGGTGTGCGCTTAGCATTACAGCTCAACATATCCGTTTGGACACAAATCAAAAACAATAATGCCTATATACCAATCTCTTGTGTAATCGCTAACCTCCAAATGCATGTACTTAAAGACAGGCATCGAGAGTACATTTTGAACAATGATATCGATCGGAAACAAAATCCAGGGGTACATTTTTAGGAAAATAAGATGTCCCCACAAAACAGCATCATGTTTCTGTTTCAATCTGACCCATAATCACTATTTAAAGTCCACTTTTAGGATATTTTACATAAACAATAAACTTAACCTTTACCAGAGATATGGAACTTGATTTTAGCACATCACTGTAAACATTATCAGTGAACGTTGACCAAATAGATTTCTGTGTAAATTTCGTATTTATTGATTCGAATAGGAGGACGTACAGGCGAAGACGAAGGGTCACGATTGATCATTGATGTCTTGTCAACGGTATCCCGTCTTACGTGCACACAGTCTATATGTTCCGCCCCAGTCGTGACGTTGTAACAAGTTATAAAGGCCGCCTGTGACAACGGTTCATACAGCAGGGAGAGGGGACGTCTATAGAAGGAACACAAGATACTCCTGTGTAGTCAAATCAAATACTAGGAGCGAGCGGGCGGGCGGGCGAGTGAGTGAGTGAGTGAGTGAGTGAGTGAGTGAGTGAGTGAGTTTAACGCCGCTTTGAACAGTATTCCAGTTATATCACGGCTTAATGTGAGAGGAAAGCCCGAATTGATGCACATCTCAGTTGTTTATCAGGTGGAAGAAACCCACGAGCACGGGTATGGTACTAACACACCAACTCATAATCGTGGCGAACGGCGATTGGAACCCACAATTATACGTTTCGAAACATGGGTGATTCATAGGCGAATTACGGCACCTTGGCTGACGAGGCCACCTGTGTCCCTGAATATACACGGAGTAAGCAGTGAATATATTTATACCATTTATAACCACTTGGGTGAAACGTTATTGAACTTAAGCAGGGTAGCATCACATTGCCGCATATACCCATGTGGCAATAAATGGATACAACAACACATCAGAAATTATACATAGATACGAGTTCTATTATCACCTCTATTCAGAACGACAAGCGTTGAGGATTTTAAAATGGTAAGACATTTTTTTCAAATACAATCGTATATAATGTGTAGGCATAAAAGGAATAACATGTGTTTTTCTACAGCTTGAAGTTCAAATTCAAATTCACCATACAATATCTGCATGAATGTAATTATAATGGCAACGTAAGGTGTACGTGAAAATATGCACATTTGAACGAAGGGCGTGGTTTAGTGAACAATGAAATAGAGGGGTTGGTGTTTTCGTTGGCAATGGTTTAACGGCGTCGTATTCTTCATCCATTATGAGTTAAGTGTGTATTCCCTTTTGGTGACATATTGACGCCTTGACGGCACACCCTTTCTCAAAACACAACAAAGGTATTATTGCTTCACGATGAACAAGTCATCTCACCAAGAAGTAGGACGTTTGCCATGTCGCAAACCACGATCAATTGGTGGGTTTTCTTTCTATTTATGTGAAATGTTTTTCTTCAAGATATTAAATTTGACATGGAATGTGAAAGATATTAATAGAGAGGATTGAAACAAGCTACATGAATATGCTACTCGGCATGTGGACCTGATGGACACCCGCACAGTCACAGCTAGGCTCACTACATGGGGAATCACGCCTGACATCGTCAAGTCATCCGAGCATAGCTGCAGTCAACTCCCTCTAGTCTGACCCCGATAGTGCGGACATCCCACATACCGAATGATTACTACTAGGAACGTCTTCATATTTACAATGTGTTATACTTTTGTTTATTCACAAAAAAGTGTTAGGCCGTAGGCCTATTACACATAACTATTTACAGAGAGAGGGAGAAATAAGAATTACCACTATTTTACATATATATCCATATCCATACACATTCATATACATACACATGCATATATACAAATAAAAATTTAGACTGTATGCAATCAACGAAGTCGAAAAGCTTTGTAAACGTAGACTGCTAGATTTCGTATGATTTTAAAGTTATTGGATGACATAAGAGCATTAAATTTATTTTTTATTTTTTATACAATGTGTTATAACACCGTACCCATCAGTGCGGACATTTGTTAACCCGGACTATTGTATTGTACACAGTGGCCTACATATTAACAGGGTGACACTGTGTAATTAAGGGGGGCACGGGTGGCCCAGTCGTCTAAGGCGCCGCGATTCGCTGTGCAGAGTTGCGTCCTTGGGCACGCCAGAAACCTATGATTGTGGGTTCGAATCCCGGTTCGCCCCGATTATGTTTCTAGGTTTGTCAGCACCATACCCGTGCTCGTGGGTTTCACCGAAGTGGTAAACGTCTGAGACCTGCATCACTTCGGGCTTTCCTCCCACATTAAGCTGACACGCCGCGATATAACTGGAATAATGTTAAAAGCGGCGTTAAACCCAACTCACTCACTCACTGTGTAATTAAAAACTTTGTGAATATAGCTCCAGTTACACCTGTCACTTCTTGCACAGATGAACGTCAATGACGTTAATGTACCTCTACTGTAAAAACAGACATATTGTTACTCTATGACTAGGAGGATTTTTGCTTTCTTACAGAAATGCTTCATGTCAGGCGGATGTTTCGATCTCACTACCAACCGAGATAGAATCCCTTTTTTTAGCAAATCATTTTTTTTAAATTGAGTGAGAGTAAGATTTTACTCCGCTGTTAGCATTATTCTAGCAGTATTACGGTTAAGGACCCTAAGGATTGGCCGCACCAGTGTAGGGAATCGAACCCGGGACTTCAGCGTGACGAACCAATATTCCTACCTCGAAACTATCCACCACAATTGATTGACGTCCACTCCGGTTACATATCATAGGTAATAATTTGCTGTGGTGAGATACTTGACTGTAACGTGAATCAGGAAGGACGTTCGATGGAGAAGCGTTAAGACTGAAGTCTATTTGATTTGAAACGATGTGGTGCAACAACATCAGTACTTAATGACACATGCGTACACGATGCCTCTGTTATTAGAATGTCAAGACCACGCCCCAGCCCGGGCTAGGTTAAAACAAGAATTGCAGTTAGATCCGCTATCTGTCATAGATCTCCTGAAGCCAAGAGATGCAATAGCGAAGGCCAAACTAACTCTATTTCTGAGAGATGGACAGCTACTCGAACGTATATAAACAGAGCAGCCAAGGATAAAATGAAATCCTATCAATATAAGAAAATAGAAATCATATCAATACAAAAACAGAAATTATGTGAATACCAAACTCACAATAGATATGTGTACCCTACTCACACACAGGAGTCCCAAAGAGGGACAGGTCAGCCGAAATTGCTTAGGCCGAAGGCGACCTCTTAAACACTTAATGCAACAACAACGATGCCTAGAGCAACATCTTTACAGCTATCACTTACTGCAGGTGTAATGTCTGAATACTGAGTTTTCGACTGTGGCGTTATTGTTTATGTAAACCAGAACATAATAGGTAAATTGAACATAAAAAAATAAAAATAATTAAAATGGAGCCCAGAACAATGCTTAATTTCAGGTCTGAATTTCTTTAAATTCAGGCGATCTACACTCCCAAATTTAAAATCGGTAGTAGGAGGGTAATACAGGTAATCACTGTAGTAGCAGCAGCAGCAGCCGTAGTAGGAGTGGCAGCAGTAGTAGTGGTAGTGGTGGAGGAAGTAGTGGTAGTGATTTTAATAGCAGTTGTAGTAGTGACATTAGTAACGGCGGTAGACAAGGGCGAAACTACTTTTGTAGCAGAAAAGCACTTGCTGACACCTAAGAAAAAAGAATAATTGTCTTACACCTAAAAAAGCGGAATTTTGTTTTATAAGTGAACCTCAATTTACCATCTATGCAGTAAATTATTAATTCAAACTCTACATGGTCGAATGTGATATTTATTGTCTAACTTGAAAATTCGGAATCTAAACGCACTTTAGGATTTTGTGGGAGATGGTTTGCTTACACTTAATATTAACCTAGTTGCCCCCAAGGTAGAAGTTACTGTAGTATTAATACTGGTGGTAGTATTGGTAGTGTCTTTGTTGTTTAACGCCGCACTAAGCAATATTCCAGCTATGTGGCGGAGGTCTGTAAATAATCAAACAAGTGAGTGACAATATAAGCATTGATCTACGCAAATGGTAGATAAACAAGTCAGCGAGCCTGTCCATGCAATCCCGTTAATTTCCTCTTACGATTGGTTGCTGAAGATCAGTTTTAACCCGGTCTCTCCAGGGTTCGAAGAAATAAATTTGTGTAAGGTCAATATTCACAGTTAGCAATGACATTTATATTGAGTTCATGCCTTCATCTTTAATGACAGTCAAGTTTGAAAAACAGATTTCAGCTATGCCTTTCTTTTTTTGTGTGTCCAGTATAGTAGTAGTTGGATGCAGCATATAAAACAATACCTGTCTATTCCAATAGACATAGGTTACAACTAGTTTCTGCTCAGTTTTAAATCAAATCAATATTTTTGTTTTACAGTTTCAGTTACACTGTTTTGCTTGAGGAAAAAAATAATAAGAAGCGGACTGGAGCCCAAAATATCACACCTTTAATTTGTGTCGCATGATAATTACTGAAATTAACGC